CTCTGACCTCGGTGTTCGTCTTGCCCCGCTGCCGCAGGCGCAAGGCCAGCGGCGACGTCACCTCGCTGCGTGCCATCCCCTGGATCTTTGCGTGGACCCAGACCCGCCTCATCCTGCCCTCCTGGCTGGGCGTGGGCGACGCGCTGATGGCGGCAGTCAGCGGCGGCAAGCGCGGCGTGCTGCGCGACATGTACGAGGTGCGCGCTGTGCGCGCTGTGCACGCTGTGTAGGTGTGTGCGCGCGTGTGTAGAGTAGCGGTGCTCTACATGCGGCTTGTGGGCGTTGTCATCGCGGCGCCATCCCAGCCAGCCTGCTGGCCCGCCCCTTGAGCCGCCCCTCAGCCCGCCCCTCGAGCCGTCCCCCTCGCCTCCCCGCCCGCGCCCCCTCCCCGCCGCCACCCGCAGCACTGGCCCTTCTTCCAGTCTGTGGTGGACCTGATTGAGATGGTGATGACCAAGGCAGACATGCGCATCGCGGCGCTGTACGACCAGGTGCTGGTGGAGGACCCGCAGGTGAGGGTGGCGTGTGTGTGTGTGTGTCTGTGTGTGAACGTGTGTGAGTGAGTGGCTGTGGCATCTGTGTGTGTGTGGCTGGTGGAGGTGTGCACGGGGTGTGTGTGCCATGTGTGTTTGGTTGTGACGATGGGGCAAAGACGGCCAAGCACTGCCCCGGCCCAAGCGCCCAGCCTACGCCGACACCCGCGCGCGCACCGACCACCCGAGCCCCGCCTGCCTTGCTCCCTCCCCGGCCCTGCCGTGTGCGCAGGAGCGCGCGCTGGGTGACGCGCTGCGGCGCCGCTACGCCGACACCGTGTCTGCTGTGCTGATGGTGACGGGTCACAGCCGCATGGGCGACAACAACAACACCCTGCGGTGGGTGGCTGGGCTGGGCCGGGCTGAGCTGCTGGGCTGGGCTGGGCTGGGCTGCTGGGTGCCCCCTTGCCTTCAAGGAAGCCAGCAGCACCGCGGGCCTGCCAGTGCCGCTGCCGCTGCCGCTGCCGCCTGCCTGCCCGGCGCCCTGCAACGTCGGCCAAGCCGCCCCGCCCTCCCTCCCTCCCTGTGCCCCGCAGGCGGCTCATTGAGATGCGCAACCCTCACGTGGACCCCATCAACGTCATGCAGGTGGGGATTGCAGGGAGGGAGGGAGGGAGGGGAGGGGTGGTGGTGTGGGGGCGTGAGGGAAGGGAAGACTGCGGGGCATGCTTGCCCTTGCGATGCGCGATGGGGATCTGTTGGCTGCTTGCGCTCTCCTCATGCGCTGCTCCACCGGGCCGCCTGGCGCTCGTTTGCCTGTCATGCTTTCAAGCGCCTTGCTGCTGTGCGCCACCGCCCCGCCGCCCACCCGCCGATCCCGCCTGCTCTGTTCGGATGCGCAGGTGGAGATCCTGCGCCGCCTGCGCCGCCAGCCCGACAACCAGCAGCTGCGGGACGCGCTGCTGCTCACCATCAACGGCGTGGCGGCAGGCATGCGCAACACCGGCTGAGGCCGGGCGATGCTCACTGATCATAGGCGCTGGGCCTGGGGCCCCCTGGCCAGCCGCGCTGCTGCGTGCGCGCCTGTTGATGGCGAGGCGCAACAGGAGCGGCGGGCACCCGCCGGGGTCATGCCCCGAGAAACCCACCCCATCCTTTGACACTGCAGTTCATTCGCTTGGTCTACCCCGCCCCCCC